TTTCTGTTTCTCTGTAGCAAAAACTCAGGTGATCTGTTCTACAAAAAGGAAAAGCAATCCAATTATGAATATTAAAATGTATGGACAAAAATTGGAGCAGGTGTCAGTAATTAGATTTCTGGGAATGTGAATGAATACAAACTGGATTTTAGAATTCATATTCAGAAAATAGTAGACAAAGGTAAAAAAGCAATAAATGTAATGAGGTGCTTGGCAGGCGTTGAATGGGGGGCATGTCGTCAGTCTCTTAAAAGCATATACTGTGCACTGATAAGAGCAGCTATTGATTATGGCAGTATGATGTACAGTTCTGCATCTAAAACACAACTTTTAAAGATCGAGGCAATTTAATCACAAGCACTGCGAATATGTTGTGGAGCAATAAGATCATCTCCAATAGCAGCAGTACAAGTAGAGATGGATGAAATGCCTCAGGAAATTCGAAGGCTCAAGTTAAAGATGAGATACTGGATTAATATAAAAGGACACTTAGATAGTCATCCAGTTAAGAAACACACACACACACACTCTCACACACACACTCACACACACACACACTGGTCAGCTGGAGTCATCATATCAGCGAGATTCTGCATTAAATCATGAATTAAACACCGTCTGACGGGTTTAACCGTCTGTTCGAGCTCGTTAACAGTCCATCTGTTATTGATCTGATCAAACATTGCTCTGCATCATATCAAAAAACAGCTCTTATTGGTAATATAGATGACCTTTATGTGAAATATTACGATATTTTAAAGTTGATTTGCAGTCCTGGAAGTGAATACAATCTAAAAAGCTCTTGTCCAGTTGCTTTGGTCAGTCTGAAGAAGTCTTGTTTCTGATGAATGTCGTATTGGAACTGCTTCATGATGGACTTTACTTTAACACATGAGGGACTTTTATCTTACAATTCAGACTTTTTGAAAATATCAAATTAGGGCTGCGAAGCGATTAATAAACGTTTATGTTTACATACTATGTGTGTGTGTACTGTGTATATTTATTATGTATATATAAATACACTCACACATATATATATTTTTAAAAATATATGTATGTATATATATATTTATACTTGTATATATTTCATATTTATATATAAATATAAATATTTTGTATATAAATCTAACATATTTTCCTTAATGTATACATGTATGTGTGTGTGTATTTATACATACATAATAAATATACACAGTACACACACACATATAGTATGTAAACATAAGTGTTTATGTTGGCTGTGATGAATGGTTTGGCAGCAGCAGCTGTGAGATGAAGGCTCTAGTTTCATCACTCATGCACCGCTGGTTGTCCGGTGTGTGGTCCTCAGGTTACAGTATGTTCGGCGTGGGCGTGGGGCTCATGGTGTTCGGATACTGGAGGCTCTTCCGCTGGAACCGCGAGCGCAGGTGAGTGAGCGTCACACTGAGTGTCTGTGAGACGAGTCTGAGAGTCCTGACGAGAGCTTCTGCTCTTCCTCCGACAGACGGCTGCACATCGAGGAGCTGGAGGCGCGCATCTCTTTACTGCCGCTGCTGCAGGCCGAGCACGACCGCCGGTGAGCAACAGATCAAGTCTAAATTCAGAAAGTTATGGCATTATATGTGTCCCTGGAGCACAAACAGTGTATGGCTCAAAATTATCCATTTTTCTTTCATGCCAAAAATCATTAGGATATTAAGTAAAGATCATGTTCCATGAAGATATTTTGTAAGTTTCCTACCGTAAATATATCAAAACTTAATTTTTGATTAGTAATATGCATTGCTAAGAACTTAATTTGAACAACTTTAAAGACGATTTTCTCAATATTTAGATTTTTTTGCACCCTCAGATTCCAGATTTTCAAATAGTTGTATCTCAGCCAAATATTGTCCTATCCTAACAAACCATACATCAATGGAAAGCTTATTTATTCAGTTTCAGATGATGCATACATCTCAATTTCAGAAAATTGATCCTTTTTTGTGGTTTTGTGCTCCAGGGTCACACAAACATGAATATCTTCCTCAGTGTTTCTGTCTTGTTTTCAAACAATTAAGAGCGATAGGTTTTTGTTTACATCATATATGTGTGTGTGTTCTGTGTATATTTCTTATGTATATATAAATACACACACACACAGTATATATTTTGAAAATACATGCATTTATATTCAGATAATTCATATTATATATAAACATATTTAATATATAAACGTAACGTATTTTTCTTAAATATATAGATGCATAGGTGCGTATTTATATATACACAGAGCGCACACATATACTATGCAAACAAAAACTTTTATTTTAGATGTGATTAATCGTTTGACAGCACTAGACTTAACCCTTTTCTTTATTTAAAGGCTGAGAAGTGAGGTTTATTATTTTATGAAGCTTTTCAAAGCTTTATTTGAACATTTCGTACATGTTATTAGATGAACTGTTGATGTCATGATGTCGTTTAAAATCATGCTGTTGCTTTAGTGTTTAGTGAGTTTATGCAAACAAAAAGTCATTTTATTTGTTGTTTGTTGATTTTAAATATAAAACTGGGTGAAGTGATTTATGTGTCGGTAGTTTTTGAACATCTCCAGCACATTTGAACAGTACTGTGATAGTTTTGGTGACTGTGGTTGTGATGAGAGTTTCTGTGTTTCTCTGCAGGACGCTGCGGATGTTGCGGGAGAATCTGGAGGAGGAGGCTGTGATCATGAAGGACGTTCCCGGCTGGAAGGTTCTGGCTCCTCCAGCTGTGTGTGTGTGAGTGTGAGTGTGAGTGTGAGTGTGAGTGTGAGTGTGAGTGTGTGTGTGTGT